GCCTCTAAAAGCAAGAAGTTATCTTAATAAAGACTTAGTATTAAAAATAGATTTAACTAATTAATTCAAATAAAGAGTTTATAGTAAAAGTCTTTATATAAAAGTAATTTTATATAATAAACTCAAGTCTTTATTTCTAATTATATAAATAAGCTATATAAGAAACTCTTTCTAGCCTATTAGAATAGTTCCTATTTCTAGTTATATAAGTTATAATATATAATAAACTCAAACTTTTCTTAGGTTATTTTTAGAAGAATTAGTAAGCTTTTCTAGATAGATTTATTAAGGCCTTAGTTTTTAAAAATATTAGTTTAGTCTTTTTACTTTTTTTTAAGTAATAGTTTAGTTCTCAGAAATTATATATAAATATTAGAATAAATAAGAAGATATATTATATATACTTTCTAAATAGATTAAAATAAAACCTATAGAATTCTTATAATATTTATATTAAATCTATAATACTAGCTAGTAAAGACTTTAATAATTTTAATAAAACTTGAATTATAAGCCTAGCTTTTAGATTTCTCGCTTAATTTCAAAATTAAGTAGTCTATAATAAATTATTTATTATAAAATATATTATACTTTTTTTCTAAAAAGTACCGAATACTAGTAATAATTCGAATATTCTAAAGTTCTTAAGACTCTTTATAAGTTTCCGGTTTTAGAGTATTTTTATAGCTAGCTAATTCTATAGAATTATATAACTATATAATTTCTTATATTAATTTAAAGGAATTATATCTTTATATATAACTATAATATTATTTTTAAAAAGCTTAATATAAATAAACTTTTATAGCCCAAATATTAGTTATTAAACAAGTTATTTAAAATTCCCTTATTCTCTAAATCCTCTAAATTATTCTTATATTATTTCTTATTATTTATAGAAACTTTACTATTAAGATTATTCTTTTTAATATTTCCTGATTTTTAATTTACTATAATTATATTTTCTAGTCTTTATTTTATTTTTTAAACTATCTTTAATTATTTATTTCTCTTATAAAAAGGCTTAATATTAAATAGAAGTTTTCTAATTCTTTTCTTATAAAGTTTAAAAATATAATAAAGAAACTAATATACTCTAATATAGTTTTAATTTAGCTTTACTTTAAGCTTATTTATAATATATATAATACCGGTATTTTTAAGAAAAGTTATATCAAGCTCTTTAATTTCGGGAATTTAATATATTATATAATTATATTTTATAACTTTTTTTTTAATCTTAAAAAGTAATTATTTAGTTACTTTTATTAGAGAAATACTATAATAATAAACTTTCTAGTAATAATTATATAGCTTTTCTAGAACTTTAGGCTAAAGGTAATTAGTTCTTACTTATTAAAAGTAGATTAGACTAATATTATAAAAAAGAATAAAGTTATTAATCTATTAGTAGAAAGTATTTATATAAATAAATTAAATAGTAATTAAATTATAATAAGACTTTTTATTAAAGATATTTATATTATAAAAAGATTTAAAGAATTATTTCTAGATCTCTATAAGCCTATTAGCTAAGGTATTTTATTATATCTTAATATACTAATTCTTTATTAAGGGCCTATAAATAAAGGCTTCTTTCTATAATAAATTATAATTCTTTACTAATTACTAGAGCTCGACTTATATAATTATTATAAGTAGTATTTCCTAGTTTTTATTAGCTTATAACTTTTTTAGAAAATAACTTTATTTCCTAATATAAAGGAAATAGAATTTTAAAATAGTAATTTATATATAATTTAATATACTAATAAAAATACTAATTATTATTTAAGAATATATATTAATAATACTATAGATCTAAAAGCTATAATAGAATAACTTATTATATTTATCTATAAACTAATATTAATCTAGCCTCTTAATAATAAATCTCTTATATTTCTAATTTTTATATTTATTTTATATCTTTATTTTTATCTTATCTAATATTCTAAGTATTTATTATATTTTCTTATAAAATATAAATTTACTAGTATTTTTTTGAATCTAGTAATATATTTTCCTATAGCTATATTAAATTAATTAATTACTCTTTAGTTCCTTAAAAGTAAATTCTTTAGCTTTTTTAAAAATATTAATATATTTAGTATTAAATCGATTTTATTTTAGCTAAAGCTTATAATAGTATTAAATTATTTTTAGAATATATATATTAAACCTAAAGTAATTAAATTTATAATTAAAGATTTAAAGTATATATTTAAGTAAATAATTTTAATACTAGAAATAATATATTATTTTAATTAGCTTTTTATTATAAAAATATATTTTATATTTTACTTATTATTAATTCGGAAAGAGTTTAGTATTTTATTATTATAATTAAATAATATAGCTAGTTTTACTAATATAAAACTTTTCTAGTTATAAGATATATTTAATATTCTAAAAAGTTTTCTTTTAAATATAATAAAGCTTTTTAATTTAGGTTTAATATTATTTCTATAATTAAGAATTAATTCTATTAGTTCTTATAATATAATATAGTTTATAAATTATAGTAATAGTAATTAGAAATAAAAAATAAAAATAAAAGGAAATATATAGTTCTTAAATATTAATTTATACTAGTATAAAAATTCTATTTTTATATTTATATAAAATATAATATTATAACTATTATAACTATTAAAAATAGTCTTATTTTTATATTATATTATCTAGATATATTATATCTAGATTATAAAATAATACTAATATTTTATTTTTTATATATAAAGAAAGCTTAATTTTAGTATTATATAACTATATAATTTTCTAAATTCGAGAAACTAATATAAAATTTAGAGAAGGCAACTTATTATTTATATAATTCCAAAATTATTAGATTTCCTAATCTAATTCTATATTCTTTAAATTTAACTAGAGACTTTCTATCTATATTCTAGTATTATACTAGTAATAAACTTATAAATATAATTTATCTAATTTACTTATTTAGCCCGGAAATTATATCTTATAATTCTCTTTTATAAAAGTAATATTAGTATAATAGATATTATTATTTATAAAATTAATTCTATTTTCTAATTAGCTTATTAATTTTATTATTACCTCTATTTATAAATTTATTATTACTTTATAAAAAAAAGAGCTTAGAAAAATTAATTCGATTTTTTGGTTTATTTATAAATCCGTTCTTTTATATTTTTTAAACTTTTATAATATAAAAATAACTTCGAATTTATAATTATTTCTCGGGAAAAAAGTATTATAAAAAGGCTTTTTTTTTCTTCTAACTAATTCTTTTTCTTTTAATTATAATACTATATCTAACCTTCTTTTTACCTCTTTTCTTTTTTCTTTAAGTATTATTTAAGTCTTTCTTTCTATTATAAAGTAAATATAATTCTTTATTATATTACTAAAAAAGTCTTTAAAAAAAGAGAAAAGATATAATATATATAATATTAGTAATATTAATAACTTATATTTATTTAATAAAAATAAATAATATAATATAGCTTAAATATAAAGGCTTTAAAACTCGAGGTATTATAAAAAAGTAATAAGTTATATTTTCTTTATATAAAAAGCTAAAATATAATACTAATTAAATATTAGAATAATAATTTATTAAATTTATTAAATCTTTTTTCTTTCTTAAATATCTTATAGCCTTTTTCTATTATTACTAATAAATAATACTATCTCGAGCTTTTTAATATTTCTAATAAAATAATATAAGTTATAAAAAATATTTATAAAATACTAGAGATTTAAAATATAAAGTTTTATTCTAAAAAGAAGCTAGCTAACTTAAATAATCCGAAGATTATAGTAAATTTAGAAATAGTATATAGTTAAACTTAAGGCTATTTAGTATTTATATCTTATATTAATTATATAAAAAAGAACTTTAAAGGCTTATAGTAAAAATATATATAAGTTTAGAGCAAATTTAACTAAATCTATTATAATTATAAATATAATAATAGTAATAGAATATATATCTTATATTACTTTAATAAAATACTAAAAGATCTAGCTTTTCTTAAGTTAGCCTTTATAAAACCTTAATCTTTAAAACTATAAATATTCTTAAAATAAGGTAATAAAGTAAAGAGACTAATAAAGAAAAAAAGAGAGAAAAAGAAAGAAAATAAGAATAAGAATAAAGAAAATAATAGAGATAGAGATATTTCGAGTATTATAGGAAATAATAGTAAGAATAATAATAATAATAAGAAAGATATATCTTATAATTTATAGAATCTATTATATAAACTATATAAATTAAAGGAAAATTAATAATAGTTAAGAAAAAGAAATAGAGGTAAAGGCAGAAGTAGAGGGAATACTAGAGATATTATAGTAAAGACAAATATAAATATTAGTATATTTAGTAACTGCAAATAGCTTTATTTTAGCTACCTCTATATAAGTTATATATATAAGTATAATAGTAGTTGCGCCTGCAGAATGCGGTATTTTGGTTACAGGCGATTTTTGGTGGGGTGCGCACGTGCCACAAATCAGACATCGAAGGTCGAAAACCAGATTCGAAAATCGCTTGGTCTTCTGATCCTTACGGCTTTCCGTACCGCACAGAAAATTTGAACGACACGCCAATCTGTACACCAAGATTCACAGTTGCACACCACAACATCCGTACAAGGCATCTTCCTCCAGTGTTGATTCTACTATGGAGTCGATGTCTGCTGGTAGGAGGTGTGGGCGTTGCTCTCTGGTACGCGTTTCAATGCGCGATTGGCTATGCGCAAATTCGTCTGCACTGGTTCTTTCCCTCGAGATGCATTCCTGCCTAATGGTATTCAGGTATGAAATGCGCTGAGACATGGTGGGCGTATGCTTTTCTCGAAGGTCTTGGTCCGATTGGAGGGTATTGTGTGGGATATTGGATTCGGCTAAGTTGGAGATTCACAAGCTCACTCTCTGCTTCATCTTTGAGCAGTGAACGCACATTTTCGGGCCCAGGCAAGTGTTTGGATTTTTGGTTACTACATATCTTGCCCTCATTGCGGTTACGAGCTCCATTGAGCGTAAGCATACTCCATTGAACGTAAACCATACTCCATTAGTGTAAACCATGCTCCATTGAGCTCTGTTACTCGACATTTCTTACAAAAGACGCTGACCATCAAAGACATGTACCCCTGGTCGCTGCTCAAGACCCACGCCCGTGGTCTAGAGTATCCTACAACTTGACTCCTCCAGGAGACTCATCTTCTGATGAGTCGTCTCCAGCATAGTCTGAAGCTGGCTTTGGTATGCCATGGTGATTGTTTCGAGAGCTGTGTTGGAGGTGACTTTCAGGAGTGACTGGTGCGTTGTTTGAGGCACCTGCCGCGGCATCCCCATCTCCCCCCGATGGCTCTGTATCCTCTTGCTGGTTCGGATTGTTCTCGTCTGGCGAGTTGTCCCCATCATTGGAGGTGACCTGAGGAGACTGGGCGTCGTGTGATGCAGACGGCGCTGCGTCCGTCTGCTCTTGTGTCTCCACCTGAGTCACCGGTCTGCTGAGGTCTGGAGTTGTTGGCATGCTAAGGTCTCCAGCTTTTGTATCGGCGGCTGAGTATCCCGATGCCATCTTCTCCGCCATGAATCTGGTTCCGCTGGTCTCTTTTCTCTTTCGCCCGAGGACCATGCCGCCAGAGGGAGTCAGCAACAGTTCCCATTCGACCGGGTAAATAGTCTCCTAGTTGCGGTACATGACCAACTCTTCGAATTCTGGGAAATCGCCCTCAACTACATTCTTGTCAGCAAGCATGCTCAAGGACGGACTCTTGAAACTGACAAAGTCTAGCCCAGGTGAGCATCTCTGCCTGGTATTGAGCCCTGGGGCACAAGCCTCCCCACTCGATCATTGCTTGTTCGAGGTAATTCCGGTAACAAATCTTGTAGTTCTCGTACTCTGGTGAATCCGGGCCGTGGTTGGCGTGGATTCTTTGAAGCATTACTGGTATTTGGGAACGGTAACAGAACAAGACCCGGTGAGTCATGGTCGTGGTCTGGGAGGGGATGCGTAGGTGGAAGGTGTTGTTGTTGTTCTTTTTTGTTGGAGGGAAAAGCGACGATCTTCAGAATCGCTAGTGAAATCGGGAAAATAGTTATTCCCGAAGGCAAATTCACTACAAATGTTCTTATCAGGAAACCAACATCGAAGTTTGCGGCTTCAGCGTGCCAACATCTTTTCCATGCGCACGCTTCAATGTCCAAAAGCTGGGGGGACATTCATAGCGACATGGGAAACCATGATAAATCCATTATCGTATGCTGAACCGCAACCTTTCGCATGCAAAGGAACTCGAGAGAAGGCTGTTTTGAATCAGGCGCTCATTGCTTCGGCCAGGGATGTACAATTCATATTTCTTTCCGCATGAAAAACCGCGACAGAGAAAGGTGAATATCATCTAGTGGCTCGTTGTATTAGCCAAACATGTATATCCCATATCCAATTAGCTTGAACCTTTTGGCACCTCCAATTAAATTACGAATCTGACTTTTCACACATTCAGGGGGTCTTTGTGCCACGTGACCCATTGTTTTGATTTGCTCACGTGACAACCACCCCCTTTCCATCAGAATCATCTATGCATGCTGGAACGATCCAGAAGCTCCAAGTCTTAATGGGAATGTTGCTGTTAGATGCCACATGCGGAGGATGCCCTTCTCTTGCCTCTTTCGGGCATTGCGTTGCTTGAAGTCGAGTTGAACGGGGCATCTTGCAATTCGCATCATTGCAGAAGTTAATTCTTCGGTGGAATCGGCTCTGCAAAGTCCGATTCGGGTCAGTTAGGGCTTGGACACTTAGGGGGAGGCTGCGGGGCTTGGAATCGCACTTTAGCGAGTGTCGCCGGCTCTCAATTTTGAATTCGAGAACTTGGACTCGGCTTCCTTCCATCAACAACATCGACTCCGACATCTATCAACCAACAACACCCACAGCCTCACCAGATCAACCATGGCCTACCAAAGCCAGCTTGAGCTGATCCACCAGCTCTTCCATCAGATTCCCACCAGAAAACCCCAGTGGACATGGGAAGCAATCCTCCATGTCCACCTACCAGCACAACGAGCAAACTCCCAGAGAGACCCCCGCTTCTCTGCAGCAACCAACCCAGACTTCTTCCAGTATAGATCTGAGCTCCAGATCTGGAGAAACCTCTGTAAGTTATTATTATTACTTCCAGTCATTCGGAAAAGCATCCTGATTATTATAGGGCACCAGCCTGGTGTCGGAGGACCTCCCTTCCCAGGCATTGCACCGCCAATGCATCTTCCACCACTACCACTACCGCCACAGTCTTCCCAGCCAAACGTTCACCATAGAGTCACCTCCAACAGCTCTCAGACAATCCCCATAGCTTACCAAAGCCAGCTTGGGTTGATCCACCAGCTCTTCCATCAGATTCCCACCAGAAAACCCCAGTGGACATGGGAATCACTCATCTATGTCCACCTACCAGCACAACGAGCAAACTCCCAGAGAGACCCCCACTTCTCTGCAGCAACCAATCCAGACTTCATCCAGTATAGAGCTGAGCTCCAGATCTGGAGAAACCTTTGTAAGTTGTCATTATTACTGCCTGTTAGTCAGAAAAGCATCCTGATATATTGTAGGGAACGAGCCTGGCATAGGAGGACCTCCCTTCCCTGGGATCGCACCGCCAATGCATCTCCCACCAGTCATACACTATTACCATACTACTGTCATTTATCCTCCTCCTCCTCCACCACCAGTGTACCCAATAGCTCCTCAACCAGAACCCACAATCCATCTCCCTCCACCACCGCCACCACCACCACAGCCTCCCCAGCCGATCGCTGCAGCACCAGCGACTACAAGCCTTCCACCAGAAAATACGGCTCTTCCACCAGCATACCCCCCTCCTCTCACGGATGCTGGGTCTGTCCCTGTTGCAGGTGCACCTGGTGAGGTACTTCAGGGAGAGAAGGAAGGCGCAGGAGGCGTCGAGGGCCAGGAAGTTGTTGACCAGGAGGAGGAGGGTGGTGAGGATAACCGTGTGAAGTTGTGAAGTGCCTCATGAGGCCTTTTTGCATCATGATGCTTATTTTGTACGCCTGAAGAGGTGATTGTTTCCCTAATGAGGCGTCTATGTCCCTAATGAGGTTGACTTTAACAAATGAAGCTTTTGCGTTGCTTCTGGTTGCTCCTGGTTGCTGCACATGAGTATGAAAATGTAAACTTTTGCAGCCAAACATGAGTCCACAAGATTGAAAATGTCTCTCGTGAAACAGGATCATCTAATACCCTCTATTCTGCGCGATCATTAACCATTGTAGAAATGGTTGAGAATCCATTGTTGCCGAAGCCGACCCGCAATCACCTACCTACCAAAGGCAGCTCAAGCCGAGCGATGATTAGCCAACCACCAAGAAACAAGCTTCCCGGGTCTCAGCCAAGCCGGCGAAGGAAAACGCCTCACTTTATTTCCACGGCATCGACTTTCTGCACTTCTCCCACTTACCTCTCTTATGCAAACCGAGAATGGCAATCGTTCCACCGAAATATGAGGGATTGATAATTGACAGGGGACCCGTAGCACACACGTGTACCAGCTCCTCCTCCCAATGGACTGCGGAAGTTCGCTTGCAGAAGCTTGCCGCAGATCCCCGCCCGAAACCCCACCTTCACTTCCAGAAGTTTTCCGTTCGGTCCAATCGTTTTCCAGGCATTGCTGATCAACAGGTACCGCAGAAGATGTGCCTGGCTGTCTGCACGATAAAGCAGCAGTTTGCTGTGGGATGAAGCCGACTTCCCAGCCTCGTGCTGTGGCCAGTAAGAGTCAGATGGTCACACCATGTGCAACAGCGGAGAACCGGATGGGACTCCAAGGGCAGCTGTCCATGGGAGACCCTGAGAGTCAGGGATCACAACTGCAAGCACCGGGGCATATCTGCTGCCTTTTAGAGGTCGCTCGAGCCGTTTATGCGGCCTTGGAGTGCCGCTCTGAAATGAGCCCAACCTCGATGAAGATCATGTCCTCTCGCAGGATACACGTGCGTCGGATCTATCCAAGCTGGCAGGCCGCAGTTCCTGTCAAGTCGACAGTGGGAGGATAAATAGCTGCAAGAGAGACCTTGAGACAGGTCTCAGGCAGCCGTTGTATCACTTCCGGAACTGCACAAATGGTGGGGTTTAAACTTATTACAGTTGCGGCCATCTCCGGCCTCGCTTTGGCTGTTCCCAATATTGCAAACAAGGGGGACTGGAAGAGCAAGATCAAGAATGTTGTCATTCTCGTTGAGGAGAACAGATCCTTTGATACCTTCGCGGGTGGTCTGAGCTATAGCAAAGACATTGATGGATTGCTTCATCACAACTACTGCAATTCCATGTCAGAACACCCGAAAACCCTTCAAGGCAAGGCTGACATACTCCAGGAACGCTTCCGACCCCACGCAAAAGGACGATGTTTGTGCGGGACCTCGAGCTAACGACGTTGCTCCCGATGATCCAAACCACAGCATCAGTGGTGTTAACATGCAACGTAAGGAAACCCCTTTGTTTCCTTCAGAAACCAACAATTTCCAGTTTTCAGCACTTGGCACCCGGATGAATCAGTTGTCGACGCGGGCCACCAAAGGGAGAACATGCGTGGATTTGTGACGGAGCAGTCCTACACGTTCAAAACTCTCAACAAGACCCGGGCTGCTGAGGCAATTAATTACTACACCCCAGACCAAGTCCGTGTCTTTAACGAAATGGCCGAGAACTTTGTCCTTTTCGACAGATGGTTTGCTGCCGTCCCTGGCCCAACCAACCCTAACCGTGCCTACCTCACCTCTGGTACCTCACACGGACACGGAAAGAATGACAACGCTTTCAACGTCTATGGACTGCCCCAGCGATCAGTCTTCCAGCAACTCTCGGAAGCCGGAATCAGCTGGATGAACTATCAGAACTCCACCACCGGGCCAGGACTGGGCTTTAACCCAGATGCTGCTTTCTATACCTGGACCAATACCTCCGGGGCTTACAAGACCAACATCGTTCCCCTCACGCAATTCTACGCTGATGCGAAGGCGGGAAGATTACCAAAATTCACATACATCAACCCCGAATGCTGTTCTTACCAGTCATTCCACCCGCCATCCCCGATCACTCTTGGGGAGAACTTCATCAAGGGTATCTACGAGGCGGTCCGCAACTCCCCACAATGGGAGGAGACACTCTTCATCTTGACCTTCGACGAGCACGGAGGTTTCGGCGACCACGTCCCACCCCCAGTAAACGTCCCCGCTGGTGATGGTATCCTGTACACCGAGACCGCGCCAGATGGAAAGAACATCACTTTCGACTTCAAGCGTCTTGGTGTTCGCGTCCCTACTCTTCTCATCTCACCTTGGGTTTCCAAGGGGGTTGTCGAGAACAAGGGACGAAACAACGGGGGAGAATACACACATACTTCCATCCTCAAGTTCTTGCAGAACCTGTGGGGCCTCGACAGCTTGTCGCCGAGAGTGGACTACTCGGCTACGTTTGAGCATCTCATCACAGGTGATTACAGGACCGACACACCTGCTACGCTGGTGAACCCATACCCATACAACTAATTCTTCCGCCGTAGAACGGGAATGAGGTTATAATTCATGAATGTAGAAAGGATTAGAAACAGTGTCCAATGGAAAGGTTTCTCTTGGCTTAGGAGTGCCATTCGCGTGACTCACCCCTCGCTACCCTCTTCTCAAACTGGAAGGTCCTAAGATCTCCTTTTCACCAAGTCAATTAGTAATCTCCCAACACCCCCACTGACTATCTGCCCACAGACATCCCGTTGTTGAAAACGCATGTATGTCACATCTGGCCTGGTAGCAGAGTACTTATTCCACGCCGAAGGGACCATTCATCCGTCGCATGCTTCAAGCAGTCTCGGTAGTTTACCGAGGCCTCCGGGTCCTAAAGTTGGCAGCAGATGGAACGCCTCAAGACGCCATCAAATATCATGGACCAATGCTGTTCTCGCACGCTGTTCCTTATCAGTTCCAACGAGCTGGAGACACAGGAACGAGCCTCTTGTCCGGGTATCTCCCATAAACGTCCGTCCCTGGGTTGGAGCAAAGGTGGGGTACTCCATTATATCTTCGATGTGTTTTCCGTGATGTTGGGCCATGTAGTTTGTTCCTCTCTGCTATTGTCAGTCGTTGGTCAAGATGGTAAAGGGATTACTGCATCTCTTGGCTTTGGCCGCTGCTGCCAGTGCCTCGGTGTCCTCCTCTGGCCAGACTCTTGTCGTGAATGGAATCAACTATTATGCTGCTCCTGAAGCTGTGACAGCCATCTCAGCGACGGCTGATATGTTGACTTCTGCGTCGAGGGGAACCGATATCGACTTGATCCCTCTCACTGTTATGGTTGACTCGTCAAGCCAATTCACAACCAACGTCTTCCCGACACTTGTAAGCAACTACACAGCTTCAGACGATGTCTTCAATGTCGGATTCTTGCAATGTTGGACCCCCCTTTAATTGTTCGGCACACATCTAATATTATCCAGCAATCTATCTCACCCATTCTGGATCAGCTCCAGCAACAGTCAAGTATCCCCTCGGAGCAGCACTCACCGAGTTCGGAACCAAATTCTTCATGCCAGCTCGAGCATACACTTCCTCGATCCAAAGCCAAGGGTACAATTTCACCGGTTGGAGGACTGCAGTCCCGGCGGGTCCATATTTCATGTCTGCCTCAACCGGTGAAGTCTTCCAAGCCTACAGACTCTACTCCGATGTGCAAGGCGCCTTCACCGAGGGCCTGAAACCCAACACCGATGGCTCATACTCCATCCTCAGCGCTGCCATCCCAGGAGCCCAGAGCTTGACAATTGGCGTCCCGTCAAAAATGTACTATACCAAGACAGCAGACAAGCCCCTCGCAGGTGTCAGAGTCGGAATCAAGGATATCTACGACATTGCAGGCATCAAAACCAGCTGTGGGAATCGGGCATACTACGATCTCTACCCACCCCGCACCGTGACCGCAACCGCAGTACAAAGACTCATCGATGCTGGCGCCATCATCATCGGCAAGATGAAGACCTCGCAGTTCGCCAACGGAGAAACCGCAACCGCGGATTGGGTCGACTACCACTCTCCCTTCAACATCCGCGGCGACGGGTACCAGGACCCATCCTCCTCCTCTTCTGGCCCCGGAGCCGGGATAGGCGCATACGACTGGCTTGACATCGGTCTGGGCTCCGACACTGGAAGTTCCATCCGCGGTCCCTCAGAAGTCAACGGCTGCTTTGGAAATAGACCATCTCATGGCCTCGTCCCCCTCGATCATGTGATGCCTCTTTCTCCAAACCTCGACACAGCTGGTTTCCTAACCCGGGATCCATACCTCTGGCATGAAGCCGCAAAAGCTCTATACTTGACCAACATCACTTCGAGTTTCAAATCCTTCCCCAGGAAGATTCTTACTTCCGGCTTCCCCACAACAAGGGATAATGAAGCAGATTCCATCCTCGTGGACTTTCTTTCGAAACTGCAGACATTCCTTGGAGCACCGACACCAACGCCAATAACTTTGAGCACACTGTGGTCAGCCAGCGCCCCCGCAGCAGCGGGCGGTGCATCCCTTTCCTCATACCTAGGAATCGTCTATCCAGTCCTCATCTCTCGACAACAATACTCTCTCTTCACCCTCCCCTTTCACGCCGACTACGCAGCCGCACACCAAGGTCGCCGACCATTCATCGACCCCGTTCCCCTCGTCCGCTGGGCATTCGGACAGAACAACGTCTCAGCAGACGCCTCCGTCCAAGCATTGCAGAACAAAACCGTGTTCATGGATTGGTTCGCTAGTAAAGTTGTGTTGCCGAGTGAGGAGACATGCAGTGATAGTGTGTTGATTTATGTCGGTAGTGATGGAAGCTCGAATTATAGGAACGTGTACTTTAGTGCACCTGGTCCGCCCACTGGATTCGGGCTGAGTCGAGTGAGTCCGTTGAGTGAGGTGCCGGATTTCGTCTTCCCGAGTAAGTGAAGTCAGTTGTCAAGATATGGGAGAGGGAAATGCTAACAGGAAACAGTTGGCCAGGCGGCGTATAATTCGACCATCACGCTGAAGGAAGAGTACCTGCCGGTAACGATTGATATCATTGCTGCGAAGGGGTGTGATGGGATGATTTTCGCGCTTGCGGAGGCGTTGACGACGGCGGGGATATTGAAGATCCCGAAGACGGGCAGTGTGATGTATTGAAGGGATTGATTTAAAAGAAGGGAAGCAGAGAAGGGATGAAAAACAGCAGGGGTGGGCTTAGGATGTTGACGATGAAGCTTGGGTTATTCTTGCCTAAGGGAAGCTGAAAATAAAGGCAAACAAGGTCAACATGGCACTAAAAGACACGCTTGAATAATTTTGTCTCGTTCTCCAAGGCATCCATAGAATGCAGCGTATGACATCAAGAAGCTCAACTTGAATTACGATTGGACGAATCAACTCGACTCGAATGTAAACTTCGCCAGTCAAATATTGTCTCTCGAAATGATCCCCGCATTTTCCGACGTGAATCTCGCTCTCTATTTTAGACGCTCTTCAGAGAATACCAAGCTGATCACCGACCCATTCTCAGTGGGGCAGATATTTGTAATCCTGGCAAAGAACACCTTAAACGCCTATGATGGTATCTCAATCCAGACAATTCCCAAGACTAGTCTTGTGCGCGCCACAAGCCAAAAGAGCCTTGACAATTTTTCCACATCTTGATCGTGCCATCCTCACTCCCTGTAGCGTAAAGCTTGCCGTCTGGGGAGAAACTGATGCTCCAGATGGGGCCGTGGTGGCCTTTATGTAGGTCTATGAAATGTTAGCTTAGTCGCGGATGTGCATGGATCACCTACCGGTTTCCTGCTCGGTATCATAATCGTACACCTTGGCCCAGGTATCTTTTATGCCACCAGTGACAAACTTCTTCTCAATTGGATGTAAAGCAACACTTGCAACTTCATACGGTAGAGGGATACTCTTGATCAACGTCCGAGCATCAGGTCCGCCATAGAAGTATACCATCTTGCCTGCAGCAATCGTCAGGATTGGAAGACCACCACCAATATCACCTGGCTCGCCCTTGATGTTTGTGAATTCACAGGAGCCAATGTCACCCTGGACGACCTGCTCCTGCACTACAGACTGGCTCTGAAGATCCCACCAACGGATGACTTTGTCGTCTGCTGCCGTAACAAGGATGTTCGGGTCTTGAGTCCAGACGATAGACTTGATCATTCCGCCATGGACTCCTGCGCCAACTTCGAAGCCCATATCAGCAGTTATCGTCTTGTGGTCTGATGCGCCATTCGCATTTCCGTTCATCAAGCTATTGCCGTTCACGGGTGCAGAGGTGTCGACTCGGTCGAGGTCGAAGATTCGAAGCTTCTTTTCCATACCACCTGTCGCAAGAAGGTTGCCAGAGTGAGGAGGAAATGCGACGGCACGGACAATGTGGTGATGCTGGAGGGTGTAGGTAACTTCGCCAGAATGGGTGTCCCATATTTTGCTGCAGATGGGTTAGCAAATGTTGGACCACCGAGGCAAATAATATACGCGGTGAAATCTGCAGAAGCTGTAGCAGCATACTGCGTATCCGGAGAGAGTCGAGCCTGGTAGACAGCGCCTTTATGTCCGAAAAAGGTTCCAATCCTAGAACATCAGCCTTTGCTTCAACCCCGCGCTCCCTCGAGAACATACCAATCTCCGGTGACGCCATCACGGAGCATAGGATTATTGTCTGCTTTTGTCAGTGCTGCCACGACCAGCAGAGCCGAAGAAGCATACCTTTGCAAGCAGAAATCATGTAGTATTCGCCTTCTGGGCCGATAGAAGAGAAGTTGATGTGCGTAACGGGTCTTGAGTGGCCATGGCACGTCAAAGGAACATAGGTCTTCGGGGTCTCCAGTCCTCCTGCCATGGTTGTAGATTCAAGGAGAGGAAGAGATCGAGACATAGGGGTCGAGTAATGAAAGGCTTGCTGTGCGCAAAGAAAGGATGTATGGGACTGATTCGTAACGAGAGATGGTGCGAGGGAAGAACTGCGGTCGAGAAAACGAGGGTGATGTAGCCAAGATAAGAAGATTCGTTGCACGGGTCGTAAAAAGTCGTTACTTCGTGTAGGTCGCAATGATGCCGATGCCGTAGATGGGACTCCTCCTCTCAACTTCTACGTCAACAGAGAGCGCACTTGAATGCTATTCCACAGTCCAAGGGCCCTTCGTGGCAGGAAAGGGGGGAGGTTGCAGCCATCTTGCCTGTCCATGACTGATTCGAATTTCCAAAACTGCGCTAGTGGGCTAGCGTCATAGCACCGCCGGATTATTGTTGCACCGGATAACGATAAGAGTCGCTCGTTCCTCCGCCTCGCTGCGGCTTTCTCAGCATCAACAACAGAAATCAAAAGACCACCATGGAATGACAACACCACAACCTTGACAACAGCTTGATATCGACCACGAAGCTGTATTACAGTCGTTAGCTTTGAACATAGCAGGCCAACATGGCCGAATTCAAGCTTTCGGCTTCTCTTACTGGTCACGAAGATGATGTGAGCAGCCTCCCCTCAACCACAACACTGGCCACTGCCACTGCCACTGAGGCTATATACTCATAAATTCTCCCCCAGGTCCGCTCTCTAGTCTTCCCCACCCCCAAAGCGATTATTTCAGCTTCCCGAGACGGCACTGTTCGATTATGGTCCCTTTTGGCAGACAACCCTCCCGTCTACGATGCCAAAATCTCCTCTCACGCCCCACGATTTGTTAATTCAGTCGCCTACCTCCCTCCAAACGAAGAATACACTGAAGGCCTGGTGGTATCTGGAGGAAAGGATCTGGTTATTGACATTCGGCCGCCTTCGAAAGCCCCAGAGGACAACGCTGATGCGATGCTCATTGGACATGGCGACAACGTCTGCGCGCTGGATGTCTCCCCAGATGGCAAATTCATTGTCAGTGGATCATGGGATAATGATGCGAGGGTATGGCCGATTGGAAAATGGGAATGCGAAGCTACACTCCACCATGAAGGCAATGTCTGGGCAGTCTTGGCTTTTGATCCGGAAACAATTGTTACCGGTTGCGCAGACAAGAAGATTCGAATATTTCACAGGTCGGGAAAGCTGTTGAAGTCGTGGCAAGGGAGCAAGCACCCCATTCGAGCTCTGTGTCGAGTTCCAAAAGGCCATCCTTCCAAAGCAGACTTTGCCTCGGCCGACAATGATGGATCCATCGCACTTTGGACACTGGGAGGCAAGCAAATCGCCACCCTTTTCGGCCACGAAGGTTTCATCTATTCATTGGCCGCTCTCCCTACCGGAGAAATTGTCAGCTCGGGCGAGGACAGAACACTCAGAATATGGAAAGGCACGGAATGCATACAAACCATCACCCACCCGGCTATTTCTGTTTGGGCAGTGGCTGTTTGTGCGGAAACCGGAGATATTGTCAGCGGGACGAGTGATAGATTTGTCCGCGTCTTCACAAGGAGCCCGGAGAGGTTGGCTGATGCCGAAACGATTCGAAAATTCGAGGATGCGGTGAAGGAGTCTTCGATTCCCCAACAGCAAATGGGGGGGGTCAATATGGAGCAATTACCTGGACCGGAGTTCTTAGCGACAAAGCTGGGTACCAAGGAAGGACAAGTTCAGATGATCCGAGAGTTGAATGGAAGTGTCACTGCGCATCAGTGGTCTGCTAGTATGTTGATCGTTCCAGATGTTCGAGATTTTGCTAACATTTCAAGGCCAACAGCAATGGATCAGTGTTGGAACTGTTGTTGATGCCGTGGGGAGCAGTGGGAAGAAGGTCAATTAAAACCCCTCGAAATCGCGTCGTTTCTAATATCTTCTAGGTTGACTATCTGGGGAAGGACTACGACTATGTCTTCGATGTCGATATCGAAGATGGCAAGCCTCCTTTAAAGTTACCGTACAACCTTTCACAAAATCCCTACGAAGCAGCAACAAAGTTCATTCAAGACAACGAACTTCCCATCACCTACCTGGACCAAGTCGCCAATTTCATCACAACAAATACAAAAGGAGCAACGATTGGCCAGGTAGAACCAGGCCCAGCTGGTTCGGATCCATGGGGAAGTGATAATCGATACCGACCAGGAGAAGCCAGCATACCTACCGTCGCCCCTCCGCCTAAGATCCTGCCGCAAAAAGAGTACCTCGCAATCCTCGTTGCTCGAATTCCGCCACTTCAAAAGAAGGTCCAGGAGTTGAATCAGGCATTGATTGCTGGTGGTCACAAGGATTTGTCGCTGAACCCAACAGAACTCAAGGTTCTCTCCAGTTTGGCCACCCACCTCGAGTCTTCTGGCGCAACGAAAACATCACAGAGCGTTCCCGGAGGTCTGGACCTTGCAATCAAGCTCACCACAGTCTGGCCCTATAAGGACCGCCTACCGGGTCTCGACCTTCTGCGGCTGTTGGCCGTAGCACCCATGACAGCAAGCTTCAAGCATCCCCGTGGTGGAAGCATAGTCGATGTCCTCGAGCAAGGAGCAACAGAGACTCAATCTCCAGCAGAAAACCACGTGATGATGGCCGTCCGCGCCTTCGCCAATCTCTTTGAATCAGCAGAAGGCCGAGCGCTGGCAATACAGGAGTTCGACAAGATCCAGAACGTCATTACTACAGCCCTCTCCAACACATCGAACCGAAATCTTCTTGTTGCGGCAAGCACGGTGTACATCAACTACGCCGTTTATTTCAAGACCCAGCCCGAGGAAACGTCTTTTGAGCACGTTCTTGCGGTTCTCGATACACTTTCCAAGGTCCTTTCAACACAGAACGATTCTGAGGCTGTGTATCGAGCGCTGGTTGCTACTGGGACGTTGCTCACGCTTGACGATGAGATCAAGAGCGCGGCGAAGGATGTTTATGGGATTGAGAAAGCGGTTAGTACTGCAGTGGGAAAGGCAAGTGATCCGCGGATCAGGAATGTGGCAGGAGAGATTAGAGGCTTATTGAAATGAAAGAGGTGATGGGCTGTTGATAGGGTGATGAGGCACGAATGATGCATTTTCATGGAGCATGCAGTTTTCTTCACTTCCTCCTTGTCAAAAGCAGCACAGCGTGCGAGCAGTGTCCCCATGGAATAAATATAGATTCCGACTCTAGATCCTGTGACCGTAGCAGGCATTGGTTTCGTGCTCCTCTCCTAGCCCCGCACCTCGACGCCTTCCTCCCCTCTTCATCAAAGCGCACCCAATGAGACGAGCGTCTTCATGATAATTAAAATAGAGTATATGCCACTACTCCAAGTGCTTTCATTCCTTGCCTGCTTTGCCCCAACACCAAAATATACAACCGGAGACGCCCGCACGGGACGGGAAATCTGATGATGATGAAACAGGATATCTACAACGTTCTGGCTCGACACTTCAGCTCATTCATAGCAGAACCATCCACGCGATTCCGAGCAGGGCCACCGGTAATAACGGTATTCTCGAGAGGGTTTGTGATGCGGATGAAGTGGAGCCGCCAATGGCGATCGAGTAGACGTTGTTGAATGAGATGTCAGTGCTGTTGAAGCAGTTTGTTTCGTTTACCTCGGCGACGTCTTTGGGATCCGCGAAGGTGATGTCTACGCACTTTTCCGCTCGTCAGCTTTGGATTTTTCAGCAGGGGAAAAGGAGAACTTACAGAATACAACGCAGCTCCATGTATAGCCGTCTCCACCACCTGAATCGTCGCGTTGTCGCCCACATTCGGCGTCGGTATTCCACTCGGCAGCGGCACCTGAGGAAGACAGAATGTTCCTGGATAGGGATTCTTTGATGGGCCGACGATCTGGAAGACGGGCACCATGGGGAAGGACATGTTGGGTGGTCCGTGGTCGGGCCCATCTGTGCCGAAGCCCATATTCATGTAGAAGAAGGCGGTGGCGTGGCCTTGGAACCAGCCTGGTTGGAGGGCGATTGCTCCGCCGGTCGTGGGCCAGAGTGTTCGGTTTGTGGTTGTGCGCATGCCGCCGCCTGGGGAAGAAACGGGTTAGTTGAGCTCTGGAGATGATGGCTGGAGCGGGAGAAGAGGTGCAGATGAGAGGTTTTCTGGAGCTATCGAAGGGAGGAAGAGAGTGAAGCTTGCAGTGCACTGCAAAGCAGAGCAACCCCACAGCCTCTCCTCGAGGTGGAGGCGTGAGGCAATGCCCAAGTTCAGCCGCCAGGAGGAAAAGAGAATCGTCGAGCTTGCATTGCAAAGCTGCAGAGCAGAACAATTCAACCTGCTCCTCTATCCCAGCTTTCGTCCCATCTCCATCCTCCTCTTCTCTCTTCATCCCCTCTCTCCCGGTTGAAGCCAAACGAGAAAAGTACTCACAAGGATACATCCACTGCATTCCATACGGAAAGGTATCATTCGTCACCAGATTGTCTCCCCTCCACCCGGGATACGTGAGCACCGTGTGCGCTCCCACGCTCTGCAGCCATCCTCCCAACCACACGGCGATAACAGCAACGGATAAGAGCGACGAGAACATGGTGATCTACACTGTCTGTTCGTTTCTTCCACTCGCTCGCTCGCTCACTTGCTCAACCCAACTCAGATACCAGATCGTGTGTTGAAGGGAGGTGCAAGTCGTCGGTCAACGGACGTCGTACAGAATCGAAGGTCGTTCGCTGAGTGGAAGTATTAGCAGGCGTGAAGAGGTCGCGGCCGATCTGGCTGCGGGCGCCCTTTTGTTCCACCGGCCAGCCAGCGCCGACAGAGCGAGGTGTGCGGTGGTGTGCGATGGTTGCGATGCGCATTTCCACCGGCATGCTGTGGGGGCAGCTGCAGCAGCGTTGAGTGGTCGCCGGCCAGCAGAGCGACCGATTCGGCTCGTGCAGCTGGGCGGCAAGAAGGCTGTGGAGCGAGAGCATGTATTTTGCCCAGCCACTCAGCGCGCGGGATTGGCATTCGTGCAGAGCGGCTAAGCGGGATCGGGAGTAGCGCCTCCCAGGGCCACAGATGATTTGCAGCTGAGCACGAGCGTGCCGCGAATCAGCGCGGGGGGAGGGGTAGCGCTTGGAGGGGAAGGCAGCGGAGCTGACCAACGGGACGGCGGGAGTTGGCGCTCGGGAGGGCGTGGCGAGACTCCCGTTCGAGGCGCGAGAGGTACGGAGTACGGAGTACCAAGTAACAAGTCACAAGTAGCCGCTGAAGAATCGAACGATCCATTGTCTGTCTGAAAACGGCCCTTTGCTTCTAGAAATTGGGAATCAAGCAAGATTCGGCAATTGGAAAGGAGGATCGGGGACCGTTCGGGAGAGAGGGTGAAGGATGGGATTTGCCCCCTAGTGCCGGTGAACGAGAATCGAGTTTGTGCAGTAAGCTGACAGACACTTCACTTCAGCCATCGGCCCTGCTTACGTAGTACTTCAGCTACTCGGGCTTTGAGCCCCCCTTCGGCCTCACCGTGCCACTTTCTTGGACTTCAAAGCCGTGAAATGCTGCTCTGGATGTGAACAACTAATGTGACTGACTGTGCTGACCTGAAGGAGCGCCTGTCTGATCTCCTTCCCGTGCGTCTCCTGCAATTCCGATATTCAATACAACGATGTTACTTCACATCGCGTCACCTCGTCACAATCACGGCGCATCGCCAGGTTTCAATGCCCACTATCAAAAAGGCGGCGCTCTCGGCTCTGTGTGAAGCGTGGCTTTATTGTTAGGGGTCTCACGAGGTCCTGCATGTTCTCCGGCAGAATCACACCGCTTCCGTTTTGAGCACACATCCCGATTTTCTTTACGATCCTGACTTTGGGATTCGCGAGCCCATTGATGTGAGGGGTGCGGCAGATTGATTGATTGTTTGATTCCTGAACCTACACGAGCAGTGCATACCGGACCTGGCGCCTGGATCTGAGATTGATGGTCTATTAGGAGGCTTGTTAGGCTAAATTTGGGCGTCGGTTTGTGGCAACAATGCCTCGCAAGAAGAAACCCTCGACGACTGCGAACACCGACGAGAAGAAGAAGACGGTCGTGCACACGAAGAGGAGAGAGATACTGGACGATGAGGGATGGACACATGTTGTTGACGCCCCGAACAGGAAGGGGAAGACCGAAGGGCTAAAGACAACAGCGCTGCTTCAAGGCGGAGACTTCGTTCTCAATGGTGTCAGCTACATCGCTCGCACACACGAAGAATTGAAGCAGGAGTTCGAACACTGGAAGAAACAGTGGGAGGCAAGCCCTGCGTGCTTGGAGATCAAGGCTTTACTCGGGGAGGGACAGGAGAGGAGGAAGATTGGCAACGTCGTCTTCCTCGGCATGGGCAGTCTGCAGAACTCGAGAAGGGAAGGAAGACGTGCTAGTGCTACGCAGCTTGCTGCTTTGCAGACAATTATCAGTGTACTTGGAAAGGGGTTGGAGGTTGTGTTGCAGGATCCGCAGTTCACGGGTTTGGACAACGAGTTTCTCGGTAGCTTGGGCTATAAAGTGGTGCAGGATCCGGAGGCTTTCAAGGGGGTGAAGGCGGGGACGCTGGTATATGCTATTCATTGCTACGTCGATGTCTACAAAGCGATCAGCGCGGGTCCCCGGCCTGCGGTGTTGATTGGCACAGACGTTGGGAACTTTGGAAGGTTCGAGTCGTGAGTATCTCCAGCCTATCACCCCAGAAAGTTTGCAGACTTAACGCAAAGGCAGATCGGAGAAATCAGAAGGGATCACAAAAACCTTAGAAGAGCTGGTTGGAGGCTGCGAGGTCATTGATTTCCCACAACTTCGACACGATTTCTCAGATACGAAGATATACTGGAGGAAGATATCTACATCTAAATTCCCATCCGAGACTGCGAAGCCCTGAAATGGTGTCCTCTTGAGGACTGGTACACAAGCGCCTATTTGATGTCCGCGACCTGCACAATGCTCCCAAAAGCATCCGCCAACTCCATAAGAGTCGTCTGGACCAAATCGCGGGCGTCCACACCAGGAATATTTCGATCACCAATCGCCTGCTGTGGCAGAATCACATCGTACCCTTTCTCAGCAGCCTGCCTCGCTGTCGTGGAAACGCAGACATGTGCCATATACCCGCATAGCACTACCTTGTTCTTCCCGGTGCTCTTGAGATACTCCTCGAGATCTGTGCTGGTGAAAGAGCCAGGAAACTGCTTGCCAATCACTTTCTCGCCGGCCTTCGGGGTGAGTTCGGAGAATTCTTCGGCGAGAGAAGTGCCAGGAGTGAACACGGGCGCCCCGTCTGGAGTTCGGTGCACGATGTGGACGAGGGGTGCGGATGCGGAGCGGTACTTTTCGAGGAGCTGAGAGATGGCCTGGCGTGTTTCACTGACGTTCTCGGTCTTCAGGTGTCCCTCCGCATACCTGTGTCAGTTAGCAGAGTGCTGGCATACAGAAGCAAGAGTGTATACTCATTCTGAGCATCGATAATGACGAGGACGCTGTCTTTTGTGGAAGCCCTCGAGGGTAGAACACCGACCAATTCCCTGAATGATTTTGCCATTGTGAATAGTGACGATTTTGCAACCGGGTGAAGTGTACAGAATAAATCAAGCTTGTTCTTATGTTTGATCTCCTGGAGCGGGGTGAGGGGCAAGAATTCCCTGACGAAGACTTTCCGAGGCTAATGACCGCATCATGAGCCGGAGCAGCGGGAAGGGAATGTGCAAGCGCATCAACCCCTTTCCGAACGGCTTTTAGAATTAGATGTTGGATACAATAACGAGAATCAAGTAAAGAGGGTTCGCCAATGTTTCAAACCGCTTGTTGAGTAGAACCTCAGGTTCTCGTAGGATGCATCCATTATCAAATAAACAAAAATTGGACCTGTGCAGTATTCTTCATTCCTGGCGGCAAAACCAAAACTCTAAGAGTTTCGGCTTGCAGTGACATTTTTCATCCAGTCGAAGACTCAGTCTGCCCACTTGAAGCTTGCCCTGGACAAGAAGCACTTGCATAATCAGATCCCAAGCAGTGGCGGGGTGAGTAGTTAGGCGATGCTCTCGAAGGGACCTTGAGTGACGACGCAGATCCACTGCAACGCTATAAAAAAAAAACCAATAAAAATCCTGGAAAAATGCACGAAACATTTCCCACTGTGAATGGTAATATCGCACACATCTGTGGGGAAGTATATCTTCATCAGCGGCTCACGATGGTACGAGAATCGCTTCGTCAGCTCGCATGCCTGCCCCTCGGCTCAGGCCCTTGCCCTTGCCCCTGGCGCTGCTAAATAGGGATGAGCGCTGCACTGCGCCCCCCCGCGTTCAAGCCTCTGTTTCGCATGCTTGCTCCCCAGCCAACCACGGGGGCAACATCCCGCCGCCGCACAAGACGGGACGACCCCCAACATCTCAGGAGAATGGAAATACCAACGCTCGAGTTAATACCAGAGCTGAGCAGCAATGCGCAAGGGATTCTGCTGAGGCCGCTGGAAAACGGTATCTTTTCTGTGAAGAACGGATCTCTGTTTCATTTTCAATTCGGGAGCCAAAAATCGATCTGCATCTCCACTGGGGCTGCCCTGTTTTCTGTGTCTCGACGGACCCATGGTGGCGCAGACCTGATTTATTGGAAAAAACGAACAATCAAACTCGAAAGCCTCCTGCCACCTTTTACGGACTGGGGAACTGGGTAAAGAACAGTCGATCGAAGCCTCTCGTACTTGCGGACCCATTGCGGCGGGCTAGTGGGTTCCAGTCCAAGAATACGAGACAGCGTGGAGACATCTGGCAGAGGGACACACTACACTTCATCCCTTCCCCCCTCCTTCCTCACAATGCAGAATCAACATCGTCACCCCTTCGAAAACGAAGGACAGAATCCAGAACCTTATTACGACCAGAGAAGGAGCCCGCCGCGGCAACAGTACCCACAACAATACCACTCTCCTTCCCAGCAAAACCAACCACAACAATACTCCTCGCCTCCCCGGCAAACAGAACCACAACAATACCATTCTCCTCCCAATCCTGCTGCGCACCCCGAGAGCTCCTTCAATCGGTTGCGAGCTGCACGAAGGTACTCCCAAGAACGAAATCCAGGCCAACAAATATCTCCCCAAGGCTACGCTCCGTCTGTGAGTCCCCCACGACTCACAGCGCCGCCTCCACATCGAGACGCAGAAGGCAGACTCTGGGGGCGGGAATTGGGCTACGCAGACAGAGATTCGAACCCTTACGAGATCGTCACCCCTGGTGCGGATAACTTCAGCGAGAGCGCTTCGGGCGGTCTTGCGGGTATTGCAATGGGAGTTGCAGACACACATGCAAGGGAGAGTGGACTGGAGGCTCTGAGGAGTACACCTGGGTATGATCCAAGGACGGACACGGTCGATCCGCGGCATCAACAAGGCTTCGACCCAAGGATGCAGCAGCAACAAGCTTTCAACCAACAAGGTTTCGTTCCGCGACAACATCCCCACCAGGGCCTTGACCAGCAATACCAGGGCTTCGATCCAGCGATGCATTCCCAGCAGCGTTATGAGCAATCGATGCAACATCCACCGCAAGGCAGGATGCCCGAGCAATCTCCATACGATCGAGCACCGCCACGGGGAGAACCTTCACAAACCTCCTTGACGCCTCTTGGAGCTGCTGCTTTCCCTCCTGGCATGACTACACCACAGTCCCGCTCCATTGCTTCACGGTCACCTCACAGTTTCAACCAAGAACCCTACGCCGATATCCCATACAATCGATATTCGAGGAACATGGATCCTAGCTTGGGGGAGGTAGACCCCAACGTCATCGAAGACGATGGAGATGAAGGACTGGAATACAGACACAACAAACGAGGGTCTTTGTTGAGCTTGGGCCATCATTCTGATCGAAACCTTCCAGCTACTGCAGGGACTGCCGCCACAGGTGGAGTCTTGGGAGCAGTTGGAGGGATCCTGGGAAAGAAGAGTGCTAGCGGATCGGGATCGGGGTCGGGGCCACAGTACAACCCAGTGAACGAGTACTATGGAGCGGGAGGGAATAATTACGACCTCGGGAAGGGGGAAGAGAAGAGCGAGTGGCTGAACAAACAGTCGACTGGAAACAAGAAGCTACGATGGATTGTGGGCATAATTGTGGTATTGGCGATTCTTGGAGGTATCGCCGGAGGAGTTGTGGGCGGCATCCTGTCGAAGAAGCACACAACCCAAGTCTCGGGGCAATCCGCTTCCGACGACACTGCAACCAATGGAGACCTCGACAAGAACTCTGCCGAGATCAAGGCACTCATGAACAATAAAAATCTCCACAAAGTCTTCCCTGGCATTGACTACACCCCGATGTACACACAATACCCGGGATGCTTGACATATCCGGCTTCTCAGAACAATGTCACTCGAGATTTGGCAGTCCTTTCTCAGTTGACCAATACAATTCGACTGTACGGAACCGACTGCAACCAAACCGAATTGCTTCTGCACGCGATAGATCAACTGGGACTGAATGGTACAATCAAGGTCTGGATGGGGGTTTGGCAAGATCAGAATGCAACCACCAACGCACGGCAACTCGCTCAGATGTATGACGTCTTCCAGAAATACGGCGCATCTTCGTTCGTGGGCGTCATTGTTGGCAATGAGGTCCTCTTCCGTGAAGACATGACCGCCACACAGCTTGGAACAATCATCGATGGAGTCAGGACAAACCTATCGCAGATGGGCATCACCCTCCCAGTAGCTAGCTCAGATCTCGGAGACAACTGGACGGCAGAACTCGCCAATAAAGTCGACTACCTGATGGCGAACATCCACCCCTTCTTCGCTGGAGTCACCGCAGAGGTAGCAGCATCATGGACCTACAGTTTCTGGACCGGCCACGACACGATCCTCAAGTCTGATATCTCCAAGAATATCATCTCCGAAACTGGATGGCCATCTACGGGTGGGACTGACTGCGGCGCCGCAGCGACGTGCACGACTGGTTCCGTGGCAGGTATTCCAGAGATGAATACTTTTATGAACGATTGGGTCTGTCAAGCTCTGGCGAACGGCACGAATTACTTCTGGTTCGAGGCGTTTGATGAGCCGTGGAAGATTCAGTTCGATACCCCGGGTAAGGAATGGGAAGATAAATGGGGATTGATGGATGTTAATCGGAATTTGAAGCCGGGGGTCACTGTCCCTAGTTGTGGAGGGAAGACGGTGACTTGATCTGGGGGTATGAATAGAAAAAAAGTGCATCGCATCATCGAGGACAGGCAAAGCACTTGAACGGCGGTTCAAGGACAAATTCTAGGCGTTCCGGAAGGGGTTGGGACTTGGGCATCAAGTTACTGTATACTAGCATGCTAACATTGAGGGCTTTTTATGATTCATTGGGGCTATGTAGATTGGTATCAATCAGAAGGCATTGATTGAGCTGCATGAAACTTTTCCCTTTCCAATATGCGGTGAAGTCTCCAAGTCTGCAATTGCCCTCTTCGAATAAAGACAAGTGACTGATGACATGACGGTTTGCTTCCCCCTGAATGGGGACAACCTCTTTCAGCTGGGCAACTGAAGTAAGTTATGGTTTGGAGTTTGATGATTGGTGAGATATTTCCAACTTCCAGCAGTTGCCACAAGAAGGCCAACAAACTCAAATTTCAGCTGGATCATGTTTCAGCAACCGGGGGTTAGGCAGCCCTCTCTTGGATGTCGATAACTGTCTGCTGCGAAGCTTTTCGAGGTTTCCTTGCCGTTCATTACTCACACCTAGGGATGCACGATTTATAATTATTACAATTATATAATAATCAAGTCGCCAATATTATAATGCATAAAATACTGCATAAAAGAGCGTATAAATCGTGCATAATTCGGCACGTGGAAAAGGGTAAATTAGTGCATTTGATTATTAGGGAGGAGCACGAAACCGCGCTAGTCAAATGGAGGCTTCTGATGGTATGTCTCATATGCAAGATAATATCACCATAATCAAGTCTGAGTGATTATTTTACGATATTACGTATTCAAGTCCTGAATTATATAATTTTAGCATCCCTACTCACACCCTCAAATCTAGGAGTCCGGCAGGGGTTTCCCAGATTGATGATTAACCGATTGTCACTATCCTGTCAGTGCGTGCAACATTGCAGATCAGATCCCTTGAATCAATGATTAATGGTGCAGCTAAGATGTCATGATCACCAAGCCAAAGTCGGCTCACGACAGAGATCGAGCATCAATGATGTTGAAGACCCTGCTTGCATTACTGGGGTCAAAGCCGATCGCGGGAAGACATGACTGCCGGTCGATCGTAGTGATATGCAAACTCTATTCCTCCTCGGGCTTCGTATTCGCTAGTCTTTCAACGCAGTGGTGTGGTGGTCACTTGACTGCTTCTCGTTCCTCTTATTCAGACTTCAGAGAGGTTCGATCGTAAATACAGATTGTTGAGCACGGAAGTGGTTCAAGACCGAGGTTGCACTTATTCCCCTTCATGAATTAGCGGATGATCCAGGCCTTGTCCTAAATCACCAAGTGACGACACATGAGAAATGCCACTACTACTCAACCAATAACCCAGTGTATTTGGAGTATTTGCCGGAGCCTTGTTACTTGAAATTTGCCCACAGCCTTCCAAAGATTCCACCGCCAGCATTCAATCCAGCACCACCGCCCTCCCTGCTCCCGTCCTGATCCACTATCTATCTCGCATCCATTTCGGACTCGTCACTTTTGTGTATGGTTGTACGCCCTTCTGTCGAAACTCAGTAATATATTCCCGAAGGCCAATTCCAGCAAAGCTCAAAGCTAACGAGCCTTCCAGCAAGATCTTGGAAACCTCGGAAGACTTAAATAAGAAGCGAAGACGGCGTGAAAGGCAGTCCGGAGCTCGCTCCGATGCCTTGGCAGCCTCCAGCCAGTTCCGACTCGATCCGAGACGGTGCACCACGGCGTGCAGCTAGACTCCGAACGGAATGCGGCTCTTAGCTCTATGCACATTGGTGCCAGTCAACTTAGCTGAAGTCCGTCGCATGAGTTAATCTATTTATAAATAAATAAAACAAGTGAAAAGCTAAATGAAAACTTGGAATGGGAGAGGTTGGCCGACCCGGTCAGTCGTTTTCTTTCTGGCCGCTGACGGGAAATGGCCCAGAGCCAGCCACTTACTTGTTACAGACAGGTTGAAGAAAAGGGGGGCTGAAAATCCGAAAGGCTGAGCCAAGTGCCAAGAACAAAAGGGGGAGGGGGGTACTGTTAAGCAATCAAGCTGACATGACGTGCAGCTGAAAGAAAGAACCTTGCAATCTTGGCAGCGAAGCGACGTTTCATGTTTTGTTGAGCTGCAAAACTTGGGCTGCGTCGAAGATAGGGGACGGAAACATGTGAAAGCCCCCTTTCCCGTTGAAAATCCAAAATCATGCCCGGTGAAGGAGAACTTTGGTTTACTACGAGCGCCGAATCCAGGGGAAAACTAAAAATGAAACGAAGAGTGGGGAAGGAAACGGACCGAGACAGCTGGGCTGGGAGATAGTCACGTGAGAAGAACCGGAAATGAGGGTGGGGGGGAAAGTAGAATTAAGCATCGTAATTTCCACAACTTCATGGGTTTGGGTGAGACGTGGCGATGGGGTAAGGCTGTGCATCGCAATAACCTTATTGTGACGGCGCGTTGATGGAGGGGTTGGTTTGATGGGATTGAGATGAGGAACTGACAGTGAATGAAATCGGGATGAGATGCTGAGTTAAACATGTGTGCATCGCTTGGCTCAGGACGCGAAACAAGAACTTGGACAGATATCAAGCGGCGAAGTCGGAGAGAATTACACCAGGTTCCATGGGCATGATGGAAGGAGAAGCGTTTTTCAAACTGTTTTTCATTCGACCATGATTATAGATCGTCGCTATATACACCATTACTTCATCTCCAGTTCTTCGTATTATTCATTGCGTTCTTTTAATCTTTCACAAATTTCGCACATACAATCCTATTAATCCTCCGCTTGATACCATAATAATGTGATTTGATGTGCTGTTCCAAATGCTCCAGCCAGCTATGCCATAACTTTTAAAAAGAATGTGCCATTACCTACAACTCGCTTCAATCCAATATGAAACGAAACGATCCTCCCACCACGATGCGAACTCCACAATTTTACAGGAGGAGCATGGCAGCAGCACCCATAAGGAATGCAGCGAAGGACGACGCAACAACTGCGTTGCCAGCACCAGTGAAGGGGATAGGGGACTTGGTTGCGTTGGCAGCACCAGTGGCTTGGATCTGGCCGTCTGAGATCTGAGTTACGACAGCAGGAGCCGTGGTAGGAGCCTGGACCTGTCCGTCTGAGATTTGGGTGACGGGCTTGCCAGTAGCTGAAGGAGCTTGGACCTGTCCATCAGAGATCTGAGTGACGGGCTTGCCAGTGGCAGAAGGTGCTTGAACCTGCCCGTCGGAGATTTGGGTGACGGGCTTGCCGGTAGCAGTTGGGGCTTGGATTTGTCCGTCGGAGATCTGGGTGACGGGTGGCTTGGGTAAGACGGTGATGACTTGAGGTTGGCCGTCAGTGAACTCGGAGACTGGCACTGGGACAGCGGATGTTCCTTGTGGCTGCCCATCAGAGATCTGGGTGACTGGCTTGGGCCCGGGGGTGCCAGTTGGCTGCCCATCAGATTGCTGGCCGACGGTACCGCAGGGAACGACGCCGATGAGGATGGGCTCGCATTGAGCGGCCCATGAGCGGTCGTACAGGTTATAGAAGGTTCCGCTCAGGCATTCATAGAAGACAGCCGAGCCACCGAGAGCGAGAGAACCGTTTGAACCGACAGAGAAACCACCAGTATAGATGGCTCCGGCTTGAGGAGGAGCATCAAACTGGAATTGGTAGTTGGCTGCGATGTATCCGGTTCGGCCTTGGGCGTCTTTGAGTTGGCCCCCAGCAAGTGTGAGGGTGAGATAGCCCGGTTGTCCGCAGGTGGAAGCACGCTGATGATGGTCAGTATGGACAGGAGTAATGATTGAGGACAACATACCTCGGTCAAGGAACGCTTGGCAGAGGTCTTGTAGATGGAGATCTCGAATTGGCCACTGTAGTCTGGGGAAAATCCGGCAGGGGCGCTGGAGGTGGGAGTGATGTTTGTAGTGACTCCTTGCGGGATGGCATAGGCAACTGCGGCTAGGGCAGCGAGAGCGAGTGAAGTCTGCATGTTGAGCGAGTGAACAGTGCAGTTGAGAAGACGGGTATGAAAGCGAGTGACAATTGCCTTTGAGAAACGCAGAATTAAATATTCTGGGAGGAGGGCTAATAGAAGGCTTGGGAAAGGGGGAGGCAGGAATCCCCTTATGTAGTGCGATGATCTGACTACGGACCAGCACGACTCGACGACGGCACTACCGGCGGAAGAATAGGGTGCGTTTCTTTTGCGAGGATGGGGAACATGTGTGTTGGAGTGTTCGACGCCTACGCGATGACGGCGTTGTGGATTTCCAGATGGGGCTGCACTCGCACCATCTGACGCCGGGCGAAAAGTCTTCCCTGAAATGGCATCCCAGAGGTGGGATTTGCTGAGGAAGGTCGCACTCGCTGACGGACGGGTGACCTATCACATCCCGGATCAATTGGGATGTTTTGCCGTTTAGAAACCGATCGCTGGGGAAACTAGAAGATCTCTGTCCTTTGGTGTTGAGGCAGGTGGTGATGTTGCACGGGCTTGGAATGGGCCGGCTAATCAGGGGCTGGGCAGACAACGCCATCCGCACGCAAGTGGCCCGGTGTGGGCCTTCGACTGGCACTCCTGTACAACTGCTCTGCGCCAGTGCTGCACCATTCCTGCACGGCTCAGGGCTAGCTGAATCGGGGGCCACGGAGCCGGTGATCGTGCGGAGGCGAGCAGCTGCTCGATGGGAAACAAGCAGGGGGACAGGAAGCTTCGAAGTTCGAATACGAATGGGGATGGCTAGGCTGAGGGGCCAAGGGGCCATTGCTGCGCTGGTCCTAGTCCTAGTGGGCCACGGTGACCTCTGCTATCACTCCAACGTCTGCACTCGGGACAATCGAGGAGACTATGCCATGGGAAAGGGCCGCGAGTGGTGATGCCCGTGCCGGTGCCCTGTTGCAGGCGAAGAAAGGAGGGAGCTGGGCTGAGTCGAGCTCGAGCTCGGTGCGGGGGCTGGCAGCCGGGGACAGGTCAGCATCTTTTAGCGGGGTAGTTTCGGTGTGTAAGAGCGTCGATTATTCCGGCAGAGATTGATGCAGGTGCTTTGGACCTCGCCCGTGGAGAGCCAGTATTGGCACTAACTGAAATATACGAGGCGGGGATGAGGTTGGTGGTCGGTGAAGTGTGGGCAGCGAAGTGTGAGGGGATGGGGTATGGAAGGAAAGACAACATGACGAGGACACTTTTGCTGCGTCTCACTTCTCAACCTCCCACTCACTCTCGGCGGCTTCTGGCCCAAGTCGTCGGCCCGAAAAACCTCCAGGCACTCTGGCAGGTTGGCACGTTGGCAGGCTGGGACGCTGGCATGCTGGCACCCAGAGACTCAGGTACTCAGGCACTCAGGCAGCAACAAGCCACCCAACCACAATTCCAGCCCCCAGCCCCACGTTTCCAGCCACCGACGTCTTTGTATTCTCTTCTGCGTAAACACAACACCAACGACAGTGGCCCGGCAACACCAGCCCCATGCTTGCGAAACACGGTGGCTGTTCTCCTCTTTTCCCATCCTCCTGCTTCACATGAAAAATGGCTCAAAAGGGTATGCGACATCGACACGGCCTCCGGTTCCAGCCACTCGCCATTCGTCTTGGCGTGCGCACCACTCGTGGGGCGACCTGACCCTCGCTGTCCCGTTGTGGGGTGCTTTTCCATCACGGGCGATTGACGCTGTCAAGGGTGCATGCACAAAGATCAGCCCAGGGATGATGTAATTCTGCGGTAGAATGTTTTTGGCCAAGCATCGCCGCCTTTCTCTTTCTTTCCGTCAGCCACCGCATTTCGTCTTCGATGGCATGACAGTCACCCAATCGTCGGCAACCACAGCTCTCCCCACCAGATTGATGGCTTCGCCTGCCCCTTCGTCCCCCGGTTCGTCCCCAATAGCGGGGTTCAATCACGCCCAGAATCGCCGTCTATCTGCTCTGCATCCGGAGTGAAATCACTCATGGGGTTCCAGTTGCCTTGGCTGGCCAACATGCTGTGTTTATTTCATGAGTGTGGCGTGTGGTTGATATATTGAGCTTCATATGGGTCTTAATATACCCTCTTTTTGGCTTCAAATCTCTTGTTGAGATCTCTGGGTCCTGTGCCACACCAAGTCCTAGTGGTCTGACGAGGCTTCAGCCCCGACGAAGCGCCAAAATGGATGACTTATATCAGAGATCCTTTGCTATCCCAATTAACATCAAACAAATATTAACCGCATTGTTTACCAATCATGACTGTCATCCGAAAACATCAAAAAGTTAAAACTTACTCACGAAAATCAAAGATATCCCACTCTCCATATCGTCAGAGACACCTCTACCCACTGTTTCAACATTCGGCCATCAGGTCGACCAATGCATAACCGATATCGGCAGATACCTCACATGTTGCGAGGATATTAGGAGAAAATGGAATTCGGGCAGAGACCATCACAGAACGTCAGTACTCGATGAGCTCGAAATTACACTTCGAGCCGGTTCTGGTTTCATCTCAGGGGAAGCGGGTAGATTTCCCAGGCTCTATCGCTCTGATCCCGACGGTATTGACGGTAGATTACTCCCTCCCCCAGCAAGCACATTATAATTCATCGCAGATGTCGGAGGAACCGAATTCGCTAGATACATTACACAGATCGAGGACGCCAACCTTCAACTGCAAGCTATAGCCGAGCCATCATCGCGACATCATCACCATTACCACCACTGTCATCTCTCACGTTTTCTCGCTCATGGCTGGGACCATGATGCCCATCACAGCCATGAGCATACGCATTTCCACGAGTTGAGTATGCAATGGGAGAGAATTCGGGATGGGATACCATGGACCTTTGCGGAAATGGACGCCCGACTTGCGTTGATGGAGAGAATACGGATCAAAAGAAAAGAGGATGAGGATAAGCTCAAGAAAGCCAAGATGGAGTTCGATGTGAAGAAAAAGAAGGACTTGGGAAAACTCGAAGATATGGAGAAGGATAATAACAAAGACTTGGAGAAGCTCGAGGAGCACAATGAGAAACGATTGTATGAGAAGGAAAGGATTGATCATAGGCGCGACTTGGTTGTTGAGCGAATGTTGGAGTCAAAATTGGACGAGGATCCGATTCAAAAGATGCATGACCTAGCGCATGTGATTAGTCACCTCTCTCGAGCAATTACTCCCAGGACAAGCCATGAGAGGATACCTTTGCGTATAAACCTTAATTCCAATGCCATCGCATCGGGATATAGAATGGGAGCGGGGGGCCGAGGTGGCAGTACGAGGCTGCTTGAGGTGCCCGTTTTCGATCATCATCACGAGTAAGTCTCGCTTCTCGTTCGTCTCTTCTAAGAGGGAGCAGGTGCCGGCTTGAGGGAGAATTCTAAGACAGGTTAATCAACTTAAGCAGCACTTACTACTTCCTCTCGGCACTATGGCAATCGACCCGTTTCAATTTTTAATCTAACCTCCACAGTCGCGGCCACAGCCACTTCCACCCCGTCATCATCACCATAGGTTTCCCGTTCGGCGGACACACTCCTGTCCTGACTTGCCCGGCTCAGACTCCACCGAAGCCTCTTCGGTACATCACACTCCTGTCTTCATCGAAAACCACATCAATAACAACAGCGTTGGAGATGACGAAAGCATCGATGATGAGGTGGACACGATCATAGATGAACGAGGTATCGTGCGTCGGCGATATCACCAGGATGATTGGCATCGACACGGACATCGACATCGACATTTGTTGCATGCGCCGGGCCATCATCCGGAACGTGTCCTTACAATCACTGTTCCAGAAAGTGAAGTGGGGGACTTGGAGGAGTTTGTGGAAAGGAGGAGGACGAACAGGTCTGGGAGTTGGTGGTGAAATATTCCGAGAGTACTTATTCTCCGCTATTTTACAGACCCAGAGAGGTCTAAGACTTACCAATTTGCCTTCTGGCGCGCTTCTTTGCTCTTTGCGGTTTTTCATTGGACAGGCTGGCTAATTTTGGCGTTCAAAAGATGGCAGGGCGGAACATTTTCACGGCGTTGCCAAAGAACACGTGTGGATGGGTTTTCTTGCCTTGTCGGATACCGTTTGTGGATACCCCCTTTTCCAGTCTGTTCTAGTTCGTTGTGACTCTCATTCTCACTCTCACAATTGCTTCTGCAGCGTATGCTCCTTGAATGCATATGGACTCGATTGACTCTGTCACATGATCAACCTTAAAATGCCGACACTTCACCACCATCGTGCGTTGTCTTCTGTCCCACCAATGGGCGCAGCTTCCACATCCTGCATGGATCTAGAACATGCATGCCAAGCCGAAAGGGGAAACCCCTCCTGGAGTACGAGATTCCTGAGCTGGAAAGCTCTCAGTCATTCACGTTGAATTCACAGCTTCATCCTAGATAAGAGCCAACACCACTCCCTCTAGAGAAACGTTCCACTGTATTTCCCTTTCTTCAAGATTGTCCCAAGCAATTTCCAATATTCCAAGCATTTGTTCAATCCTCTTTCCTTCATTCGATCTCTGGCCAAGGCGATAGCCCCAAAGCCTTTTACATTCGTCGGAGCGGCTGCAATGCTTCGGACATCGGGTCAACTTCCATTGGTTTGACAGTAGCCATTCCCTGGGTCACACCACCCACCGCTCCCGCTTCTCGAATCAAATTTCCCAATTGTCTCGGCTGTTTGTCGAATCAGCGGTTGGCCTTCCAAATCTCAAGACGTCCTCAACCCTCATTCGACGCCATCCAAGCCACTGGCTGCCAGCCTTTTCCCTCAGCCGCACCATCAACAAATCATCATGAACGGCGCCCACTATCGACAGCCCTGCCCAGTCAAAGCTTCTTGATCCTTTCCAAAACAGAACGGAGAGAACTTTACCCGTAAGGCAAGCGGAGCATTGTGTTCTTCAAGGGTCTGGCCCGTTGAGAAAGCCACAGAATCTTAAAGGGGACTAATCATACGCACGAGGCTGAAGTCTTCCGCATGTAAATACGCATTCCCTCCCAATCGAAGAAATCTTCACGCAGGATCTGCCATTTTACTGATCTCCAGGTCGCCATGTTGTTCGCTGTTGTCCTCCTCCTCCTCGGAGTGAGTTCTGCTCAGCGTCCGCAGAACGCGACGATTTGTGACTACTACGCCATCGTCAACTATGGCTCCAACTCAACTGCGACGCAGCTTAAGCTTATGCAGTCGATTTTGGCGCTCGCGTTTGGCGGAGCCGGGCCGCTCTCCAACGTCAACTCCAGCATTACGGGAATCTTCAACCCAGGGAATTTTATCGGAACCCCTGTTGATCTCCAGCCTTGGTTCAACGGAGTGAAGGATTCTACGAATTTAAACAACCAAGCTGTGGGTATTGATTGGCTTGATGGAGGAGGGACGGCTCCGTTGTATGCGTTCTTGGCAGGCTCGACACCGAACCTCACGTTCACAAATGGGTCGAATGAAGCGTGTGTACCCCCTTTTATTATTGAGAATATCATATCTGACTCTTGAACAGGAGGCTCTTCGCCCACTGGGAGTCGGCTTTCCAACACGTCTACGGCTGCACCCTCCCAGCGCCACAACCCCCGACCCCAGGCGGCTTCCTCGACCTAGCCTACGTGCACAAATTCATGGACCTCAACCACACAGACATAGGCCACTTTATCAACCAACTGACTCTCTCCTCGCAACACTTCGGATTCTCCGACAACGATGCCCAATCATTGAACACCCAAATGAATGCGCAATTCAACGTACGTTGCGCGCCACCTTCCGGAACCCACCTCTATTCTCTATGTCAAGATCCATCCTGTCCCTTAGCATTCCCGAGTCCAGATTGTGCCCCTTACGAAAATCTCGGCCCCAACGGAGTAGCATCCAGCTCAGGAACAGGTCCCGCATCAACATCTCCCCCACAATCAACATCTTCCTCTCCCGCCTCCTCCTCCCCAGCTACACAATCATCCGCCGCCGCCGCCGCCACCCACGACTCATCAAAGCTCAGCGCGGGCGGCATTGCAGGAGCGTCCATTGGCGGCGCCGCTGTCCTCTTCGCCTTCATCGGCGGCATCATTTTCCTCCTCCGCCGAAAGCAGAGACCCGACCCCGCACTTTCTAACCCCTACGTCCCGAACCCCTCCAACGCCTCGTACCAGGCGCCAAGTTATACAGATCCACATACGAGCTACATGTCGAACCCCCATCCGGACGATGGGAATCCGCAGGGCTACTGGCACTCGGCTGCAAACCAGGGCGGCATGGGAGGCGGGGAAATCGGTGGGCAGATGATTGCGGAGATGGAGAGCCCGAAGAGCCCCGAGATGGTGAGTCAGGCGCATATGAGCTCGCTGAGTGGGCGGACGATGAGTCCGGGGCCGGGGAGTGGGGGGATGAGTCCGCCGGGTGGGAGTCCGGGGCAGACGTACTTGACGCCGGGGCAGATGAGTCCCGGAGGTGTGAGCCCGACGAGGAAGCCTGTGGGTGGTTAAGTGAGGGAAGGGGGGTAAGGGTTGGCATTGGGAGCGGTGTATATAAATAGCATTCTTTCCTTTTGGAAATGAAATAAGTTAATGGCGTCGTTATTGTTCAGCTTTTGTGAGTTAATAGAAATAAGTTCAAATCGGGTGATTGACTTGGGATTGGAATGAGTGACGCTCGGTCGTTCTGCGAGTGAAAACTCACCCCGGATATTTTCTTGGATGCTCCTCGTTTTTGAATGTTTCAAAATGGGCGGCAATCGATGCCACTCGAATGAAGGCGGCTCCAGTCCAGATCTCCATTCTTTGTCTTCTTATATTCCCCCCCTTTGTTGTCCTGTCTCTTCTCATCTGTTCTGGTCCTCGTCATCGGGTGCCCTTGATAATTGAGTTAGTAATTAGGTTATTCGAACTATTCTACGGATCTTTAGTAAAGTCCGCAACTTGATTCGAGTTTTCATTACTAGCAGGCCCGAGACAGCTTTTTGACTTGGCTTTAGCGAACTTCCTGGTATTATATTTAGAAGCCTTGTTTTTTAGTATACTTCTGGAACTGAGACTAAGCTAGAGCAAAATTATAATTATTTATATTATATAATAATAGAGTCAGGCATAATTATATAAGATTTAAGTTATTAGATTCGTATTTTATAACGTATTATATAGTATATTATATAATAGCTAGTATAATTATATAATTTACTAGAAATAGAAATTAAAAAAATGGATCTAAAATAGAGAACTATATTAGAAAATATAAGTAAAGTATTACTAAAGATTAAGGCATTACTTTCTTTTTTGCTTTCTAGCTTAATATTCTTAATATATAAGATTTATTAAACTTTAAGCCTTTATTTATTATATTAATCTTATTATTATATAATATTAAGCTTATTTAATTTAGCTTATAAATATAATATAATATTACTAGTAAAGAACTTATATTTGTTTTTAAAAAGCAAAAACAAAATATTGCTTTTAATATTAATAACTTTCTCGAATTAAAAAGAACTAGAGATCTTAACTAAAAGTATAATATTTTTTGTAATTTAATTAATCTTAAAGTCCGGCTTTTAATTAAAGTAAATAATACTTCTTTTCTAGTAATTAGTTATTTATTAATTAAAAGAAAAAAGACTTTTATTCTTTATAATTTATTTAATCTCGGAATTTGGCCTTTAATTAAAGAAAATATTATTATTTTAATATTAATAAAAGTAAAAGAACTAGCTCTTTTTATAAAAAGAATTAATTACAATTTACTAATTTAAAATAAAAATAAAAAAATAAATTTTAGTTTACTAATTTAAAACTAAATAAAATAATAATTAATTATAGTTTATTAATATTAAATAAGAAAAACTTATTTAGTATTTATTTTTATAACTAATATTTTTGAAGCTATTATAAATAGTTCGGAAATAAATATTATTATTATAAGTATATTAAATAAAAAGCTTTAATATAATAAAATAAAGAAACTAGACTTTAATATTATAAATTTATATTATTAGAAAAGCTATTATAATATTATTCTAGAAAATAATATTAAGAAATAGCTAGCTAACTTATTTGTTTTTAGGATATTTATTAAAGTTCAGAATTAATATAAAAGTTATAATATATATAGAATTATATATAATTTAAAAATATATAATAAACTTCAAATATTATAGATATTAATTAGGGAAATTAGTAGCCCTTTAATATTATAATTAATAATTATTTATATTATAAGTATTAGGCTTATAAATTACTAATTATATATATATATTATTAGAACTTTTTATTTAGAGAAGGCTTTCCTGAACTTTATAAAAGAAATAAAAATTAGTTTTATATTAAATTTAATATTATAGTTTTATAACTTACTAATTTATTCTATTATTTTATTACTTATAAATAAATACCTTATAAGCTAATTTCTTTATTCTTAAAGGAAATAGTTTAATAAGTAATTATATCTCGAAATCTATAAAATATATAACTTTTTACTAAAGCTATTTCTATAAAAGAAATTAATTAGATTAATTTTAATATAAGTAATAGTAAAGACTTATTTAATACTTTTAATAGAATTCTTTAAAAGCCTCTAAAAGCTAGTAATAATAATAGAAATAATTCCGGTAATAATTAAGATTTTAAAATTAATATCTAAATTATTATTATTTAAGTTATAAAATAGAACTTATATACTAAAATTAAAGTACTTTAATAAAAACAAGAATTAGTAAATATAATTAACTAATATATTCTATAATTAGAATAATATAAAAATATTTTCAAAAATACTTTATAGTTTATTATATTTTATAAAAACTTTATTTATAAATTTATTTTATCTTTTTTAGTAATTTTTACTAGAAAACTTCTTAAAATAGAATTAGAATCTATTTCTTTTTCTAATATAATAAGCTTTAAAATTAATCTCAATACTATTTATTAGAAGCTATTATATAATATTCTAAAGATATATTTAAATTAAAAGAAGCTTTTTAAAATCCGGATATCTAATTTATATTATAAAAAGTTTCTTAAAAAATAAAAAACATTTATATTTTTCTAAAAAGCGGTTTTTAGAACTTAATTTTAAACTTATAATAAATACTTTTCTAGAATTAATTTTATTATAAATACTTTTAAGAACAAATTTTATAATACTTAAAAGGCTATAATAAAATAAAGCCTATTATTATATAAAGTCTATTAAAAGTAATTTAAGATCTATTTAGCTAATATATTTTAAGTACTTTAAATCTATTAATAAGATATTTTTAAAGAACTCCGAAATTTTTATTAGAAAAATAATAAAATAATTACTAATTTTTATATTTAAATAATTAGTTTCGAAATTAATTAGAATTTATATTCTAAAAAAGATTAAATTTAAACTCTTAATATTATTTTATCTAATTATAAGACTTATTAGATATTTATATCTATTTTTTTTAGGAAATAAAATAATATTTATTTTCGAATAGCTTAAAAAAGCTTAAAAAGTAAAATATATTATTTATTCTAAATTAAGAAAAATAAAAATAAAAAAGTTTAATAAAAGTAACTTTATTTCTAAAAACTTTAATTTAGTAAATTCTAATTTATAAGGCTATTAAAAAAGAAAGAATAAGTTTCGAAAATTATATAAAAAACCCTTAGATAATACTTTAATTTCTTTAAGGCTTTAATAAAGTATTAGTTTTATTTTAAATATAGTTTATTAGACTTATAAATAAAAAGAATACTTTTTAAAAAATATAAAGTATTTTAAATATACTAAATAAGTTTAATAAAACTCTAATAAAGCTAAAACTATAAAAGAATTAAGGTATTTATAAAAGTAGATTAATACTATTATTATAAAAAAGTATTTTAAAAAAAACTTTTCTAAGAAATAGAAAAAAGAAAAAGCTAAATCTTAAATATTAATTATTTTAGTAATAATAAAAAAGATATATTACTTTATATAATTATTTAAGTAAAATTAATATAGCTAGAAATAAGTATTTCAGAAATATATAACAAATATAATAACTAGTATTATATAGTTAGTTTTAGTTAAAGAAATTAATTTTAGCTAAAGTTCTAAGCTATAATTCAAATTAAGCTTATTTTTAAAGCTTAGTATTTTAGTAGTTTTAGCTATATCTACTTATTTATTACTATATCTTACTTTTTTCTTCTTAGTTTTAAATTCTTAAAATATAGGAAATTATTAATCTTTAAATCTTATTTTCTTACTTTATTTCTATTATTATAATAGATTTAATAATATTAGATTAGATTATAACTTCCTTAATAATAATTAGACTTAAAACTAAGTATTATAATAAGAATTACTAAATTAGGGCTAGTATAATTACTTTACTTAGTTAGAATCTATATACTTATTTCCTAAAGCTTTATATTTCATTTAAGCTCTTTTCTAGCTAGTTTAATTAATTCTTTTATAATTTAATATAACTTTTTATTTTATAATCTTTATATATATTAGTTATAAGCCCGGTCTTATATTAATAAGCTTCCTAATTAGTATACTATAGAAAGTATTTAAGAGCTTATTTAATTCATTTTTAAAAAAATTATATTTTAGTTTATATTTCTATTATTAACTAATTAATAGAAACTATTTCTATAGCTTCTATAATTTCTAAAGTTTAATTATAATTATATTAGAAGCTATAGTAAAGATTATTATCCTAAAGAATTATAGTTCCTAGATAGACTAGTTTAATACTTTCTATAAAATAGCTAATAATAAGAATATCTGAAATAAGATTAATTTATTTAATAATAAAATAATTAAAATAAATATAATAGCTTCTTTTAGGCCTTTTCCTATAATTAATAAGCTTATACTAAAGGAAATAGAGAATTACTATATTAGATATTAAGTTAATATAGAAAATTAGAATAAAGATATTTAATCTATAATTAAGAAAAAATTAAAACTAGTATTTCTATAATCTATAATATTTGGGAATATTAGAGATTACTATTTAGTACTTTTATAGAACTATAAGATTAAGAAACTAGACTAGATAAATAAGCTAGTATACTATTATATAATTAAGTAATAGCTTTATTAAATAGTTAATATAGAGATTCTTATAAACTTTACTTTAGAATTTAAAGAAAATAAATAAAGCTCTATTTATAAAGTTCTTAAGATATTATTAATAAAATATAATTCTATAAATATAATACAAATTACTACTACTTAAAAAATATATAGCTTGGTTCTATTATAAGTAAATAAAGAATATTATAGATATAATATTTAGGGCTTAGAAAATAAGATAAAAGATCTCTTATAAAGATAATTTAAAGCTAAGAAAGAAAAAACTAGAATATAAAAGGCTATAAGGGAATATATATACTTTATAGTATACTAGTTCTAAAGAGGCTTAGTTTTCTAAATACCTCTAGTATATTTCAAGTATATTTCTTTAATAAAGTAACTATATTATATATATCTAGGAAATATCTAGTATTTAGTAAGATATCTTAAATACTAGATATCTAGGAATTATAATATTACTTTTCTTTTTATAATAAACTTATTCCCGAGCTTTATAAAAGCTATTAATCTATCTAATTTTATATTATACTTTTTCCTAAAATAAAACTAGTATCTCGAATATAAATATTATATATAAAAGACTAGTA